TCCCGCTTCGGCAGGGGCATTCTCATATGCCGACACCGGTACTGCATTCAATGTGGCGGAAGCCAGGGCCTGTCTGGACGTGGGAGCTATTGTATGACCTGCTTGGGTCCATTGCTGAGTAACAAGGTGTGCTACGGGTTCTTGACCTACTTGCCTCTAGGGCGGAGGGAGTCCTTGTGCAGCTCACAATTTTCACTCTCATCATTTCCACCAGTTCGTCATATGTGGAGGGATTTTTGCTGCGCACGTCCCTCCAGAACAAAGTGTTCATGTTGAGCCCATCTTTTAGGGCCGAAAGGGCTTCTCTGTTAGTGACCTGTTCGCAGTAGGTGATTTCGTCTGTAAACCTGGCGAGATAGCTTTTCAGCGTCTCCCCAGGGGCCTGCCTCATATCTTGCAAGCGTTGCACTGGTGTCTCTCCTTCTCTGCGTGAGAGGTATTGGTTCAAAAATGCTTTCTTCAAATTTGGCCAACTTCTAATGCTTAGGGGAGGAAGCCTGCTATACCACACTTCGGCGGCTCCGCCTAGTGTTAAATGGAAGGCTCTGCATTTCAAAGCGGGCGAGGCTCCCCTTAGGCTCATCTGTGTCATATACTTGGTGAGGTGTTTCTCCGGGTCCCCCTTTCCTTCATACTCGGAGATCTTATGGGGCATGAAATTGGCTGGCATTGGGAAGTTTCGGATCTCCATTGAGAAATGGAGGTTATCATCATCATCGTCAATCTCATAAGATCGACAAGGCCCATCTGACATTTCATCATCTTGAATGTTCTGGGGACGTGGAGGTGCTTCTCCTCGACTTCCCCAATCGACTAGGTTCCTCTTGTCCCTCCTATTTCTAGGAGGAGGAGGAGCATGCTCTTGTTCTTGATCTGGACGAACTGATCTTCTTATCGGACGGACCCTATTGCTAGGATCTTCCCCTATCCGGTCGAAGATGCTTGCCGGCCTTTGTTCCCCGTATTCTTGAGGAAAATTGTCCCCCAAGTGTGATTCTAATGGCTGGCTCCCTTGCACATAAGATGTGGTTTCGGCGTTCATCTCTCTTTCGAGGGGGCATTCTGTGTGCCGGCTCATGTGGCCTCGGGAGTGAGATACAAGGGCTTCCTACACCGGATAAGATCCTTGGGGCATTTGATAGCCCTAATGACCCTGGGCTTGCATGAGGAGTTCATGCATTGCCATATTCTGAGCTACGATGTCTCTCATACCCGCAGCTATTTGAGCCATTCCTTCAATGAGTATGGCTTTTCTTCCACCTCGGCGACACTGGTGATGTGGTCTCTGATGAGTAACATTGTTATGGAGTACCTCTTCTTCAGAGGCCTCTCTCATGGGGTTGTCGTTCTCATGGTTATAGCTCATCCTATCTCCTTTTTCAAGGGTGGTGAGAACTTGGATTGTAACTCGACTTTGTTCTTTTTCAAGAACGTCCCATTTTCATGGTTAGTTGCTAGTCTTCCGGTAACTTCTCCGGTGGAGAATACAGAACTTTGAACGGGAAGTGTGTTTCTCACAGACAGCACCAATCTGTTGACCTCGAAAATTGGACCTTCCACGTGGCCAACCGATAGCTACTCCACATATTCCTCCCTGCGCACAATCAACACATGGTCGACGCACACGACCGGGACCAGCGGGGGTGGCAGTGGCCGTATACACTCCGATGGTCAAGTCAGGTTTAGGTGGTCGGAACAGTATCCAGGGGTTGTGCAAAATAATAATAAAGGGGAGGAGAAAATATATAAACTTGCTATGAAGTGTTATGTAGTAAGAGTTTCATTACATTTGCCTCTTGCCAAACCTTGGGTATTTATAGGTGGGATGAACCGTTGGATGTGAGACACGTGTATACATTTGACGGTATGAGGCGTCCGCTCATAGGCGTTAATCAGCCGCGTCTGTAGAGTGGACGGGCAGCTTGTTTCTCCTGGGTTGAATTGACATAAAGTTGATAAGTCACATTAACTAGTCTCATGGAGACGTCAAATTAATTTAAACCTTAAGTGTAGAAAGGATCTTAGCACAAATCTCTTTCTGAAATTGGCGACGGATCTCTTGACAGGGGTCCACTTGGCCTCGGCCTCTGAGGCGAGGAGCTTCGGTCAGTTTAGCAGGATCGCCTATACCTCGCAGTGTACTACCAGGTTGTTGATATTGGTGATATCACTTCGGAAACATTTCGGACGGGTGTATATCAGATCAGAATGTGTGGTGGTGGGCGTTTCGAAGCGGTTCAGATAGGGGCGTAACAATCATTTGTTTTGTTCCCAAAAAAAAAAAAATGACGCTTAAAAATGTCTTTTTCATAACTAGCAGCCAATGAACTTAACTCAAGTCTTAAAGTAAATCGATGCCATCAATAAATTAATAATAAATTTATTTATTTTTCCATAGCACGTGTTACTAACATATGAATTATTTATTATTTATGATAATTTTGCTATTTTATAATTTTTAATGAAGCTATCTCTAATGGTAGAAAAATCGTCTTTTCTTCATAATAGCATTTTAGCTATGTTAATTTATTTAGATTAAATATGGCTTAAAAAACTGGTAAAATAGTGAATGTGATACTCCAAATTAAAAGTAAGAAAGGTTATGATATTGTTTAAATGGAAAGGGATGTTTTCGATATTGTCTCAATGAAATAGTTAGAACTGAATATCTAATATTACGAATAGACGATATCAGAGATACTCTCTGAAATTTATGACTTTATGATAATTTTGCTATTTTATAATTTTTAATGAAGCTATCTCTAATGGTAGAAAAATCGTCTTTTCTTCATAATAGCATTTTAGCTATGTTAATTTATTTAGATTAAATATGGCTTAAAAAACTGGTAAAATAGTGAATGTGATACTCCAAATTAAAAGTAAGAAAGGTTATGATATTGTTTAAATGGAAAGGGATGTTTTCGATATTGTCTCAATGAAATAGTTAGAACTGAATATCTAATATTACGAATAGACGATATCAGAGATACTCTCTGAAATTTATGACAATATCACAAACATCTCAAGTTTATAAAATCATACTAATATCTCTTATTTATAGTTTTATATATAACGTACACCCCACACCCATCACTTTTTGAGCCATACATCATCAAAAAATAAGGTTGAAAGACCTAAAATGTCATCATGAAGAAAAAGGTTAAATTCTCAACAATTTATTGCAATTTTATTTATTCCATTTAACAATAGATTAATACTTAAAAACTTTGCACATACATAATTTTGAATACGCATGTTAGTGAAAATTTAAAACTAATTTTTTTTAAGAATTTGGTAACAATGATTTTTTTTTAATTTTAAATTGATTATATATTACGTATACATAATTTTAATATTAAAAATACAAAATTTTTAATAAAAATTTATATTTATAAACTAAAACAAGAAGTTAAACATTTACTTCTACAATTCAAGTAAAATTTAGCGACAAAATATTATACATTAGTTCAATAAAACATTATACACCTTCAAAATTTATTATTAAATGATGATCATGTTATAAAATAGAATGTTGTGTTAATTTAATATATCAGATCATTACAATATATCAAAATAATTTCATAAATCCCTTCTTTAGTTTTTGTACATATAAATCACTTATTGTTAAATTATCTACATAGAAAATGATCTACTAAACACCGTTGACATGATACACCATTTGATAATTTTACTACGAATAAATCATTATTTGTTAATTTTTGTACATATAAATCACTATTTGTTAAATTAATGTTTTGATAATCGATATACAAGCTTTTTGCAAAATGATTATAGGATCATTGGTCTATTCTACTCTAATTCTATATTTCCAACCTTATATATACAATATGTTTTTCATTGGCAACTTCTTTTACCCATACCATTGTTGAAGCATTTAAAAGAGAATTTGATGTTTTTGGGTCAATAATGGTACATGATTATTGGTCTACTCTACTCCAATTCACCATTTTGAACCTTATAAAATAGGTTATTCCTTGGCAACTTCTTTTACCCAAGCACCTAAAGGAGAATTTGGTATCTTTTTCGTCATTAATGGAAGCAATTGTCCTTGATGTTGTAAAATAAGAGCATTTTACCCCCGACGGCATGGAGTTAAGCGAGACATATGAGATATTGTTGTAGGCTAAATATTATTCGAGTCTATTTTAAGAAGTTAAAAAGAATATTCTTTTCTGCCTTGAAATTCACTGCGAGCCCATGAATGATTAAAGGATCTACTCTCGTGCAGTATATTAAGCCCTTGTTTGATACCAATTAAAATCTGGATTTTAATCTAAGTTAACAGTTAATTTTAACAATGCATTTTATGGGTCCTCAACTTTTTAATCACACATTTCATCAACTTCTATCAAAATCTACTAAAAATCTATTTTAATTTTCACCAAACATGAGTTTAAAGTTAAAGTGAAACATTAATTTTAACATCATAGCTATCACACACTTATTATTCACATATTTTGATGAATCCATTACTCATCTTATTATAATCTCATTATAATAAAACCCAAACAAGTATTAAGTTTTTATATTAACTACGTTATCGCATGTATCTTTTTATTAATTTTATTTAATATAATAAATCAATTCTATTCTTACAATCAAATATCATGACGGAACGAGCTAATTCATGCATTTCTTTTTCAGTTTCCTTTAATAAGTTTTCGCTAAGAAAAAATTCCATAGGCAAATAATTGCAAAAGAACACGAAGAGAGACATAATAAGAAAATAAATGAATGTAATATTTGGAAGAACTTAAAAGAATAGTGCAAAATAAAATATGTGCAAAAAAAAAAAAAAAAATTATGAGCCCCACCTTAATCAAGCAGATCACATGCAAGGTTCCCGTTGATCATATCCAACGGTTACGATCAAACCACTAAAATCATCGCAGATCAATAGCCCTCCATTCCGCTTATTTTCAACTTTAATCTTGCTGGTCCATTCTACTTTATTAGGTAGCATATAGTTCCCCACCATTGTATCTCATGTGACCGACCGTTAATCTTGCTTGATCTGGCATTGCTCTCATCGTGTACTAACTTGTGAACATATATAAAAACCAAATTTTCTGATCAAAGTGAAAATAGAAAAGTTTTCTTCCAATCCATTCACATTCGAGTATTCCACTAGTGATCGTCACGTCTGAAAATGGCCAAATATTCAAGTTTAGGACTCGAAACCGAGCTAACATTGGCGCTTCCCGGAGGAGGAGGTGGTGGTGACCCTAGTGGTTCAATGGAAACAAAACAGAAGAAAAGGGTGTTTTTTGAATTTTCCGGTGAAGAATCAAAGGTGGTGAGCAAGAATCAAGTGGTAGGGTGGCCACCGGTATGTTCTTACCGGCGGAAGAATAGCTTTAGTGGGGAAGAGAGAACAAAAATGTACGTGAAAGTTAGCATGGATGGTGCCCCTTTTCTACGCAAGATTGATTTGAGTGCGCATGAGGGTTATTCTGGTCTTATCATGGCTCTTGAAAAACTCTTTGGCTGCTACGGCATTGGTCAGTAATTCTGTTCTTTCAATTTATATGTTTGCCAAATTACCTTAAATTTTATGAAGCTCGCCAAATTTAACGCATTTTCTATTCGTGGTAGAGAAAGAGAGATTAGGCATGAATGATATAAGTGTTTGGACATGTTTAGCAAAGCTTTTGTTTCATGAAGATGAGTTTATATATTGAGGAAGCATAAAAACTCTTCTAACCAGACGAATTATTTTAAAAAAAGTAGGTTTTTAATCCCATAAACAAAATTTTATTTTGTAAAAGTCCTACCAAATGGGCCTTTCATCTATAAAGAATGCTAGGGAATTTTGTTTGACAATTTTTCTCCATGCAAATTTTCAATAATTTTGTTTAACATCCAACAATAGCATTAGTTTTCAATAAGAAATGGCGCTAACTATATTTCTTGTACTCCCACTAAGTTGTAGTAAAGAATTTGAGTACTAGTACAAACTTAGAATTTTAGAATTTAGAACATATATGAATTTTGTTAAATTAAATGTATGTACCAATCGTTTGACGTGTCAAGTGTCTCGATACAATGTCTAATCTAACAAAGCAGATATTTAGATAGGGAAGATCGAGTTGGTCTGGATTTTGTGCCTCTAGCTAGGGTATGCAGAATGGCGCAATTGTGAGTGTTAACTGGAATTGAAATTCTATTAGGGTTGACAAATGCAAATCTAATAATAAAATGAAGAATGAAAAACCTATGCATTGGTTGGTTGTGTTGTTAACAGGTGAAGGAGACAATAATGAGTACGTTCCAATATACGAGGACAAAGATGGAGACTGGATGCTTGTTGGAGATGTCCCGTGGCAGTTAGTTCCCTTCTATCTCTATTTATCTATTTCGCCCGCTAATTAATTTGCTAATAGTAATAGTTTGATTGAGTTTACTTTTGCGTTAACGATATCAAGTATTTGTGAAATGTGTGAATCATAAGATTGTTTAGTGTTCATAAAGAGTTTATAAAGACGAACCAAATATACGATAATATGAAGGATGTAAAATGGAAACGTAAACGTATTGTAATTGGGGTGGCTTAGAGCTGTTGCCGACACACTCAGAAAATCTCCATAATGAATTTACTGACTAAGGAAGGAAAAATCCTCCAGGTCAAGCCAAACATTATAAAGTACGTAGAAAGATTTCTAGGACCAATTTTCCATGGACGACCGGATTCTCGTCCAACACAATAATCACACACCCGAAAAACTTGTATTCTAATCTTCCAGTCTTTTGTCTTTGTCTCTGTTTGAGGTCACGCTTCTGAAAATCAATTATTTTGAGAGTACATGGCTTGTCACTCTTTTTTCGACACGTGTTTTTAACTAAGTTTAAAAGTTTAGTAAAAGATTTTATTTTTTAACGGTGTATCCTTTTCCGAGAGTATGGAAGGTGCACAAAAAAAAAAAAATAAATAAATAAATAAATAAAAATAAAAATAAAAATTTGAGAGACTTCCAACCTACTCAACAGACAGTTTAGGTGGCACCAAGGTCTAATTAAGGTAAGGTCTTGTCGTGGTTGCTCCACTCTGTTGCAGTTTCATGAACTGAAGTCTTTCCTTAGCGAAGCGAATGGACTATGTGTCGTGGCTCAATTTCGAGATGGAGAGTAAAAAGAGATCAGAAGAATGATTCATTTGGACCGACAAGTTTTTTCAATTAGAAAAATTTGCTTAGTTCATTAGCATTTATTTCAGGCTCATATAATCATTAGCTTATTGTCTTTTAACTTGGAAAAGTTAATAAGCTCCTCTTTTACTATGTCCCCTTGTCTCTGTGTGAGACGACGTGAGGGTTAAAAAACAAAAAATAAAAATAAAAAGAGAAGAATTTGATTTCTCTCACCTTTGGCTTGGCTGGCCTGGTGGTTGAACGCACCTATCGTGCATCACCCAGAGAGGGGAACTATCCAAAGTACATTTGTTGGTGCACTTCAAAACTATTTATATGAAAAAGTAATTATCTTGTATGGAACTTTTATACACGAAATGGTATGTCAAAACAAAACATTACTCAATAGAATATTTAAGGACGAAAGTATGTAATAAATTTCTCGAATGTCTCATTTAAAAGTAGAACGTAGCAAACATGTCTTACAATCTAACATGGTACAATTTGCAGGATGTTTAGCGGATCATGCAAAAGGCTAAGAATCATGAAGAGGTTGGATGCTAAGGGCATAAAGCTCCATGCAAAAGACCTTCTCAAGGGCATTTCAATAGAGGCATGACCCTATAATTAATGATGGATTAGCATACTATGTACTGTTTGTTCATCACAAATTTCTATGCACAATGGGCAGTTTCTAGTCCATAATTTAGGCAATTTACCTTAAACTTGTATTAATTAATGCTCAGTAAAATATAACTGCAGACTTTGTTCCATAATAAGTTTGCTAGTTTGCCTCTATTTTGTATAAGATATTATACTTATATTGTTAAATTATTTCATGTATTGTGCTTTCTAAATTCATGTTGTAAGCAGTAAAATTATGCATTTAGAGCATGTTTGGCTTTGCAATACAATATAAAATATAAATTTTCAAGTTTTTTCTTCGTTAATTCAACAAACTCTTATTTCTAATAATTATATGAAGATAATTCGCCTGAACCCCAAATGGTCAGAGTAGAGCTCGTCATCATTAATTTTATTTCTAAATATAAACTTTGTCCTCTTAGACTAATATTACATATAGCAAATGTTTTTTCATTTAATTTTTTCCATTCACATCATTTTAAATAATCACTTATGTACCATTTTTATGTACAAGTAGTAAAATCTATAAAAAGAAGTTAAAATCTTATTTATATGACGTACAATATAATTAATAATATTAAGTAGTAAGCATGTAATCATTATATTTAATCCTCTTTTTTTTTTTTTTACTCATATGTGTTGACCAAGTGAATATAATTGAATATTTCTTTTATTTCCTATTTAAGAAGTTGATTAATTTATATAGAGTCGTAAACCCAAATTCGACACTTTAAACTGTGGGAATAAATCTCAACACTATCTATGAGATTGATACCTTAAAAAAAAACCATCAAAAGTATCTCCCTCGAATTCCAGATGATTATTGTTTTATTTTCACTTCGAAGTGCAATCATCTTTTTTACTTACCAAGATTAATTTATAGAAAATCAACTTATCAAACCCGTCTTCTTTGCAAGTGTATTTTATTGACAGTAGTCAACGATGGAAAAATATCTTTTACACTTGAAAAAAGTATAGCTCGCAGCTTTGAAATGTAATGAAAAAGTAGCAAGCTTAATCGGATTAGGGGCTTGTTTGATAGAATTCATTTGGAAATAGTGAGTTGTTGAACAGTATTTTTTTGGAGAATGTGAGATGAAAAAGTAAGAAAATTTTATTGACTTATGTGTAAAATATTTTATTGTGTATTGTGTGATGAAGAATGATCATTTAGCAAACAATTTAAATTTTTAAAGGATGAAAAAAAAGAGAATAGGAAAATGACCTAAAAATAAATGCCAAGCCCAAAATCCTTCTTGTCGTGACGGTAACGTTTCAATATGCACGGGGGAACACCAATTATTGTTGCCCACGTGTCTGGTGAGGGAACATAATGAGAAATTATGTAATAAACCGACAAAGCAACACATTCACATGCGGATCCTGGGACCCACTGTCCGGAATTTAAGTTTCTCCGTGGACACGGACTCATGAAAGGTTGACTTTTTACCTTAAGAGCCCCGACAAGTGGCCCCCTCTTCACCTTCTGCTTTCTAGTTTCTACACATGAGCAAAAGTTTTGATTCTCTGTGAAGCACATTAATTCTCACTCTACTCACTCGTGTGTTTCTTTTATATAACAAAGGCCTGTTTGATACCTATTTTTTTAAAACATATTTTTTTCTTCTTTTTAACCATACATTTTTTTATTAAAATAATATTATATGTAAATCAAAAAAAATTCTTATTTTTCAACCACACATTTCTCATTAATTTATTATTCCAAAATACATTTTTACATAAAAAAAGGGCTCCCAAACACCCTTTAAATGTCCGTTTGATTGTAAAAATGAAATTTGAGTGGAAAGAAAACAAATTACAAGGAATTGAATTGCATAGTACTTATTTTTAAAAAAAATCAATTAAATGTGTTTAAGTGGTATAATTTTTCAATTGAAAAATGTTGAAATTTTTTATCTTTTGGTATTTGTTTGACTTTGTTTTCCATAAAATTTGTCAATTAAAGTAATATAATTTGTTACAATTGAGGATAAAATTTATTTCAATTGTCAAAAAAGAGGGCTGGAAAACAAACCAAGGTAAATGCACATGTGCAGGGAAAAGAAGGAAAACAAATTGCTTGAAAAATTATTGCTATCAAACATGACAAAATGTGGAAAATGGAAAATGTTTTCCAATTCCCACCAAACCAAGGAAAATGTACGTATGAGGAAGAAAATTATTGCTATCAAACATGACAAAAGGTGGAAAATGAAAAATGTTTTTCATGAAAAATCTACCTAATCAAACAGGCCCTTACATTTTTCTATTTACAGGCTTACGGTATGCGACAACAGCAAAAACACAACTTTGTACTCGTTCTTTTCATTTCGATTTTCGATTCATATCATATATCTATTATTAAAACATGTTCCTAAACAAATAAAATATACATTAAAAATTATTTTCTTGTAACATTAACGAGTCAATTTTGTTACATTGTCTCTCTTAAACTACCAACTTCCTCATAAAAATGGCCAACTGTCTTCATCATGGGAAAGCCATCAATATTGTCATCGAACTTGTTTAGAACTTAGAAATTGAATACTTACTTAAACGAAAACGACCCGACATTTTTAGAAATTCAACCATAAATTGAAACTAGGCTCCTGTTTGATCCCCATTTTTGGGATAAAATGTATTATGAAATAGTAATTTTTTGAAAAATGTGTGATTGAAAAATAAGGAAAAGTTTTTGAAATACAAGTATAATTGTTTTATAAAAGAACATGTGATTGAACATAAATGTTGAAAAAATGCATTCTTATAAAAATGGGACTCAAACAGGGGGCTAGGAGTAGACACGTAAAATAGCTTGTGCTCAAATAAAATCCTCATCGGCCCACCGAGCGCGGTTTAGCGGGTTGAGGCCAGAATATTCAAGACAAACATGAAGATCTACTACACCCATATTTCTCCTTCGAATAACTTATAATTGTAAAAGTAACATAATCTACAACAGTTCACAGAACTAGTCACCTTCCTGCAAAACTTACATACATTTACAGTCGCAATATACAAGAGTCGTGAAGAGAAGCAAAATGGCAAAACTTTAGAAAAAATTATTAATAGACAGACGTAAAATGTGGTGTGGCGGGTTGTGTACTATGCCACGAAGAACATGAAAAATATGAGAAACAAAATCAGCACAAAAAATATTTTGATCATCAGCCACCTATTTGATGAGACACTTTTAAGATACTTGAGAAGAGCCCCTTGAGCCCCCTCTACATTTGATAGCGTATCGTCCATGTTCTCATCGATCCTACAAGAAGATAAAATTCTCGGACTCAAAATCACCAATGGAAGAAAGAAGTAAAGAACTGAATCTTTCAATTACAAAGGCATAACAATCATTTAAAACTATAATTTTTTGGTCAATCGAAAACAATATGCTATTTGAAATTAAGCTCACATATAGTAAATATATTCTACAAGGTGGCTTAAAGTACCTTTAGAGCCCAAATATCACGTCCCAATATACTGCACCTTGTGATATTTTAACCATTTGGAAGCTCGTTCTCTTTTCTCAAGAGATTATGGAATGTTATGGTAGATTAAGTATAAGCGGACACTGACTAATCTAGCCGAAAATGGAAATGATTGGAAATATCTATTCCACACATCGTGCTGTATAAGAAATACGTTACACACATTTTACATAAGATCATAAAAGAATATCAGATATGACAGAGGACAACAAAGATACTAATCTAACAAACATTTGTATTAACATATATACATGCCATGAACAAACTCATGCAAACAAACATTTCCAATCAATTGTTCACAAGCTCTTACGGGCAGCGGTGAAGTGGTGCAACAAGATTTTTTTTTTCTGCATTAAAAATGGAATGTCACACCTTGATAAGGCGAGTAGGAAAAAATAATGTCGTTTCTATATGCAAGACACAAATACAAGTTCTTGCTGAAAAGAACAGTAACACGCTTTGGCATTACCAATTCTTT